TGCCCCACACCTCCAGCCCCTCCCTCTTTGGTCTCCTTTTCGATATGCCAAACCAATTTTGGGTCGAGTGCATTTAACGAGAACAAAACAAAAGGCTCATAACAACAAGAACGTTTCAGAAAAAAACAAAAAGTTTAAAAAAAATTGTTGAGTCAAAAAAACAATAAAGAAATTAAGATTTCTTGGAACTGACGGGAGTGGTGTGGTTCATTGGCGTGAGTGGGCCTGCAGGGGGCATCCCCCCATCCCCTCCACCACCATTCTGACTCAGAGGAATCTACTGCTCACTGTAGGTAGGACCCATCGCACAGCCCCCCCACCCCCGCAGAATCCCAAAGGTAGGCTGTAGGCGGTTAACGTTCGGTTTTGCAAAAGGTGGAGCTGGCCTGGAGGTACCCCATGTTTCCCAAGGACCTGTTCCCTCAGAGACACCCATGCCCAGATTGCCTTCCTCAAGCTGTTGGAAGCAGACCCAGATGGTCCCAACTGCCTGTTCTGGGTTCCCACTGGCTGCTGGAAGGGTGCTCTCCGAATCCTGGCAGCACAGTGGCACAGCCAACAGCCATGGGTCTCACCGTCTCATGGAACTCCAAGAAAAGAGACTATTGGAACCAGGCCAGCATGTTCCTTAAAACACCTGGTGGCCAGACGCCACACTCCTGCCCCTTAGCCACTCCTTGCTTTCTGTCTCCTTGACTGCTGCCTCCCACGGTCTTTCGCCTTTTATTGGGAGAGCCCTAGGGCTCAGTCCTTGGACCTGGAAGATCTCCATCTCAGAGTTTTCAACACTGTGTCCCCACCGAGAACCTCCAGGTTGAGTGTTTGGTAGGATTGCAACAGGTGCAAATGGAACACCTCTCCTCCCTGGACCACAGACTGTAGCAAGGGAGCCCACCCCAGGAATGCGTTTCCCTTGGGTGCCTCCTCTTGCTTCTACCCCCAAATGGTCGATGCAGCAGCGGCTGTAACTTCTCTATGTCCGGGATTTTCCCCACCTTGGTTGTAGTCACCACTGACTCTCACTGGAAGATGTCGTCGTGGCTATACGGTGAGCTGCTAACCACAAGGTCAGCAGTTTGAACCCGCCAGCAGCTGAGGGAGAAACATGAGCCTTTCAACTCCTGTGAAGAGTCACCATCTGGAAGCCCTCACAGACAGCTCCACCCTGTCCCGTCGGGGGGCTGAGTCGGCATCAGCTCGATGGCAGTGACTGGCTTTTCAGAGGACCGCTCCTGGCTCTTCACACGAAACCCAGAGCGACCACGTTAAACATGCTGACCCTCCCTGCTCTAAACTCCCAAAGTATAAGAACTCAAGTCCATCGCAACGGCCGGCGGACCGTCTCTACAGCTTCATCCTCCTGCCCTGCCCGCTTCTTTCACTCCACAACTGCCACTGGGGGCTCCTCGCTATCCTCAAACACGGCTGCCACCCTCCTGCCTGCCTGGGGGCCTCAGCAGTGGCTGTTCCCTCCGGTTTCAAGGGAACACCACCTCCTTTCCCGCGCGTGTCCCCCCCCCCCACCTCCCAACCAATTTGGATCGCTTGTTGTTCCCTTGTCCCTGGGTTTGTTAACACCTCTTCCCTTCCCCCCTCCTCCCCCTCTGCCA